CCTAAGGCCCCCGATCGGCCCCGCGCTAGCCTCCTAAGGCCCCTGTCGGCCCCGCGCTAGCCTCCTAAGCCCCCGTCGGCCCCACGCTAGCCTCCTAAGGCCCCCGATCGGCCCCGCGCTAGCCTCCTAAGGCCCCCGTCGGCCCCGCGCTAGCCTCCCACGACCCCTGCAGGCCCCGCGCTAGCCTCTCACGGCCCCTTAAGGCCCCACGCTAGCCTCCCACGTCCCCTGCAGGCCCCGCGCTAGCCTCTCATGGCCCCCCCCTTTGGCCCCGCGCTAGCCCCGACCGGCCCTCCCGCGCTCGCCCCTCTACGACCGAGCCGCACGGCGCGACCCGAACCGAACCGCGCGACCCAGCCGAGCCGCGCCGCCCCAGCCGAGCCGCGCCGCCCTAGCCGAGTCGCGCCGCCCTAGCCGAGTCGCGCCGCCCTAGCCGAGCCGCGCCGCCCTAGCCGAGCCGCGCCGCCCTAGCCGAGCCGCGCCCTACTTACCTGTGCACAGCACTACTACTGCTACTGCTACTGCTACTGCTACTGCTACTATCACCACTGCTTCTACTGCTACTTCAGCTATGGCTAGCCCTACAGTTCTTTCGTTCGATTCTGAGGGCCGCCCGATTAAGTTTGATACCTGGCTCGATGATCTGCACCTGTTCCTCCAGCTCACTGCCAGAGAGGATATCTCGCTGTACGATCACGCACTAGGCACAGTCCCTGCTCCTGCTACTACTGCTACCGCTACTGCTCGCTCGCAGTGGCAGACTCGCGATGCCCACGCCCGCTTTGCCATTCGCAACTCCCTGCCAGTCGATGAGCGTGAGCACTTCGGCCAGCATCAGACTGCGCAGGCCCTGTACACTGCTGTAGTTGCGCGCTACTCCTCCCCGGCCTCAGCTGCACTAGGCCGTCTCTCCCTTCCCTACCTGTTCCCCGACCTGTCCGCTTTCCAGACAGTCGCTGACCTCATCACTCACCTCCGTACTAGTGATGCCCGCTTCCGTGCAGCCATGCCCGCTGAGTTTCTTGCCTCCAACCCTCCCCCGCTCTGGCTCACTCTCTACCACCTAGTCACCCGCCTCCCTGACACTCTGCGTACAGTCAGGGACCACTTCCTAGCTCGCTGCCCCACTGAGCTCACCATTGCCGCCCTAGAGAAGGAACTACTTGCAGCTGAGAAGAGTATTGTAGCTGTAGGTGCCTCTCGTGGCGACCCCCGCACCCCTTTCTTCGAGGGGTGTTCCCCCTCCCCCCTCCTCCCCTCTGTCGCCTCTGCTGCTGCTGTCGACCTTCTTGGTGCTGAGCAGGTCGGCTCTGCGTCCGCTCCCAGCGGGCACCGCAGCGGCAAGGGCAGGGGAGGCAAGGGCGGTGGGGGTGACGGCGGGGGAGGCGGTGGTGGGGGTGGTGGCAGCGGCGGGGGCGGTGGCGGGGCTGGAGGGGCTAGTGGCAGCGGTGGGGGTGGTGGAGGCAGCGGCGGCGGCGATGGCCGGGGTGGGGGCGGTGGTGGTGGCGGCAGTCGACGTGGCGGCGGCAGGGGCGGTGGTGGTCGTGGTGGAGGCGGCGGTGGTGGTCGTGGAGGCTCTGGCACTGGCCAGAGTGCGCAGCACCCTCAGTCCTCCCAGGAGCTTCGTGAGTGGTACTTACAGCACGGGGGTGGGGGGGGGTAGCCTTAGCTGCACGTACGTCATCCGCACTGGTCGCCGCAAGGGACAGACGTGCGGGAGGGCGCACACTGCGAAGCGCTGCTTCTCTCGCCTAGATGATGCTTGGCGTGCTCAGTTTCCTGACGCTCCTGAGCTCCCTCAGTGGGCTGATCTCCTCAAGAAGGATATCGATATCTATGCTCTTGATTTTGATGTTATTCTCAAAGCAATGTATGCATTGACTATTAGTGGAGAGGAGGACCAGTACCTGAGTGTTCCGCCTGACCCAGGCATCCGCACGAGTGAGACTGCCGCCCTAGGTGCTTGCGTGTCTGCTACCCCAGGTACTGGTGAGGCTACTGCTCTAGGTGCTTGTGTGTCCGCCACCCCAGGTACTACTGAGTCCACTGAGGCACTGCACACCTTCACTCTAGACTCAGGCGCTTCGCGCTGTTTCTTTCGTGACCGCACTGCTCTTGAGCCCCTTGCTCGACCAGACGCTGTCTCGCTCGCTGACCCCTCTGGGGGTCCGGTCATTGCGACCTCCTCCACCCTCCTTCCTTGTCTTGCTTTCCCGTCGGGCACACTGTTAGGTCTCCACCTCCCCTCGTTCTCTACGAACTTGGTGGCGGGTTGTGCGCTTCAGGATGGGGGTGTTCACCAGTTCACCCCTGCCTACGAGCGTGTGACACACTGCACGTGTGCTCGGACGGGCCGTCACCTGGCTACCTTCACTCGGCAGCCGGGGTCGGACCTGTACACACTGACCACTGAGTCCCCTCAGGTAGCGGCGTCTGCGTCTGCGTCTGCGTCTGCGTCTGCGTCAGGTCAGCTCTCTGCCCCCTGCTCGTGTCGCTCTCTAGCGCACAAGACTGTCCTCTGGCACCACCGACTTGGTCACCCGTCAGTGCAGCGCCTTCGGGGCATGCACGCCCGGTACCTAGTCTCTGGTCTTCCTCGGGTACTCCCTCCCCTCCCACCCTCCCTTGCTCCTCCTTGTCTTCCCTGTGTCGAGGGGCGGCAGCGCGCTGCCCCTCACTCCTCCTCGTTCCCCCCGACGACTGCTCCTTTGCAGACGCTCCACATGGACGTGTGGGGCCCAGCCCGCGTCCGTGGTCAGGGCCAGGAGAGGTACTTCTTGATCGTCGTTGACGACTACTCGCGCTACACCACGGTCTTCCCATTGCGCACCAAGGGTGAAGTCCCAGATGTTCTGATCCCTTGGATCAGCAGAGCACGTCTTCAGCTGCGAGAGCGTTTTCGCTCGGAGTTTCCTGTCCTGCGCTTGCACTCTGACAGAGGTGGCGAGTTCTCCTCCGACCTCTTGGCAGCCTACTGTGCCGAGCACGGCATTCGCCAGTCGTTCACGCTTCCGGCCTCTCCACAGCAGAATGGGGTTGCTGAGCGCCGCATTGGCTTGGTCATGGAGGTTGCTCGTACCTCCTTAGTCCACGCGGCTGCCCCCCACTTTCTGTGGCCGTTTGCGGTCCGGTACGCTGCGCATCAGCTCAACCTCTGGCCCCGTGTCTCCGCTCCGGAGACCTTGCCCACACTGCTGTGGACGGGGGAGGTTGGCGATGCGTCACGCTTCCGTGTCTGGGGATCCCGAGCTTTTGTTCGCGACACGTCTGCGGACAAGCTCTCCTCCCGCACTGCTCCCTGTGTCTTTCTTGGCTTTGTCCCGGATGCGTCTGGCTGGCAGTTTTACCACCCCGCCTCGCACCGCGTCTTCCCCTCTCAGGACGTCACTTTTGACGAGTCCGTGCCCTTCTACCGCCTCTTCC